CTGTTGGGGAATTAAGGATTTTATAAGGTATCCCCAAAAAGGAATTACAATAGAGACTACAGGTACCTCTTGAAACTCAGAGACTTCGGGATTTAGGGTATCTGAGGTTTTTGAGTAGCCGAGTCGGTACGTGCTTGAGGCCTTTGGGGTGCCATGGCGATCTCTGTTTCACCCCAAAACGGCTTACCCCTATAGCTATGCCCCCCATGAACCTAAAGCCTTCCCCCCAAGTACAAATCAGCGGGTGCGGGGACTATTGTGAATGACCGCAGGTAGTAGTTGAGGTGAAGTGTTGCAGCCGACACCGATGGGAATTCCGAAACCCTAGAACCCCGTAGAACCCAGGGCGGTTCGGTACTTCCCCCGAAACTCGGCAGCATCATCTGCCCAAGAGCTTTTACGACCTCTTCCACGTCCTATAAGGGTTTAGGGTTTAGGATGCTCCGGGCAAAACTTGGCACCTTAAGCTTGCGATCGCACCTAGATCCTAAACCCTGAGCCTACATTCCTAATCCCTGCCCGTGGCCCTAAACCCCTCTGGTGCAGGCACAGACTCTTTCAGACTTTTGACTTTGTGGTTTCTCTGGCATTCGGGTTGGGAGGACTGTAGCTGCTCCCAACATGGAAGTTCTCCGCTTGCTGCGACTACATTGTACAGGTTCAACATTCCCCAGTAGTACCAAGCCCACCCCGCTTGTGGGCATAGTTGTCAGCCATGCGAGAGGGAAAGAATCACCAAACCGACAGCGGGTATACTATAGGGGCCTTAGTAGTAAGAGTAGGGTTTTGGAGTATATTATGCAATAAGTATGTTAGGGAACTCATGAAAAAGTGCTGGCAATTATTTATGTAGGCCCCTATATCAGGCCAACTTGGACATCGCCAGGCCTAGAAAACCCAAGCCGGCCCCGTACATGCCCAACCTCACAGAAGGGTTCAGACAGAAATTTGAGCAGCTAGGGGCTTTAGGGCTTACGGATTTTCGCTGCAAGCTGTGCTGTGCCGCCTTTATGTTTAATCGCAGTATTATAGAAGACGCCAGGCTTCAGAACAGTTCTTCGATTCCCAAAGCCAGACCAAGAAAGCTGGGGCGTCAGGTTTGTGAAAACGCCCAGAAGCCATCTGGCTTTCTGATGGTCAAGATAGGGGAGCTGGAGCATCTTGGATTTAAGGTTTCGGGTTTTAAGCAGAGGGTGGGCTTTGGAATAGGGGAGTAGAGGTGCAAAGTTGATGTTTGATGTCGCAGGAGGGGCGTGCGATTAAATCATCCTGAGGTAGGGCTTGGCTTCGGGAGTTCGACAGCGGGGTTAGCAGCTTCTGTGTATACGCAGCTGTGATCCGATCTATCACATCTATCACTTGATGCGCCAGAGAGAGAGAGAGAGAGAGAGAGAGAGAGAGAGAGACACAGACAGACAGACACAGACACAGACACAGACACAGACACAGACACAGACACACAGACACATAGACACACAGACACACAGACACACAGACACACAGACACACAGACACACAGAGACACAGAGACAGAGAGAGAGAGGGGGGCTTCCCATGTCAATCCTGCTCAGGAGAGGTTGTTTCACTGGAGCAGGGAAGCTGGATCAGGCGCATGAGGGGAAGAGTACTTTGGGAGGTCGCAGAAGCTTCAGACTTCTACGGTCGCCTCACGAAGTACTCGAGAGTTCATACCTCCAACGGTCTCCACATGGTCTCCACATCTGCATCAGATCCACTGGGTCAGGCAGAATCCCCGAAACCCGGAACCTGCTTGGGCCGCTGATGCTGACGCCCTTCTGCAAGCTTCGGTTCTGAACCTGCGTGGCTCATGTACTCCGGGGTGGGAGAACAGAACCTTTCCCCACATGATCCTGAACGGCTACCCGCCATAGTTGTGCTCTGAAGCTTGAGACTGCTTGCAACCTCCTCACCGTCAGGCCATGCTCCAGTTCAGAAACAGATGGAGATTAGACGACAGGCGCGCATGGGAAACCCCAAACCCTAAACCCTAAACCCCTAAACCCTAAACCCTAAACCCTAAACCCCTAAACCCTAAACCCCTAAACCCTAAAGCCTATGAGCCCCTAAACCCCTAAACCAGGGAGATGTGTGCAGCATCTGAGCGGAGGGAGGCTAAACACCAGGTTGGAGGCTACTGCGGTATGTAGGAGTCCCAAAAATGAGACGCTTGTCCCACACACTTACGTTTGTATGTGTGGCTACATGTATTTACCTATATGTGTGTGTATATATATATATATACAGTTATATATAGATATACATGCGTGCTATACATGCGTGTGTGTGTGTATATATATATATACAGTGTTTGCGCCAGCGCACAAATCGCATGGCGCAACCCACAAATGGGTTGATGTCACAGGTGGTCTTCGTATTTCGTAGCATTTTCGCTGGATTTTTGCCCGGGGAGACCTGCATGAAATTGTTGTTGCTTCCAGCATCCCGAATCATCTTCGCATCGAGGAAGGCCTGCTATAGTTGCGCAGCTGAGATTTCTTAAAAGTGGCTGGCACCATTGGATAAGATGTTGGACAACTAGTTGCCTCGGCAGTTGTCTCGAGTCTTGTGAGTAGGCCTCGGTAGCTTGCAGCGGTTCCCAGTGCTTCCATTATAGGCAAAATAACAGGAGATGTCGTAGCACAGTACCCAAGTTAAGACGCAAGCTGACAGCTACGCTACAGCTGACCCTTCCAAGCCTCTGGCTTCCCAGGTTCAATAGCCACACAAGCAAGAGTCTTCAACATGATGTTTCCAGCGGTCCTAACCCTACAACCTGCCTTCGCGAAATGACCTTGGCTTTGGAAAGCTCCTACAACGCACTGCCATGGACTGTGTCAAAGAGGGTCCTAAGCAAACCCCAAGCCCCAACCCGATTTCTCTGCCTTGCCAGGGCTTTGGCCAAGTTCGTTGAGGTGGTCCATCCTCGGGATCAGAAGACAGAGGAGTCCAGACGTTGGTCGTTTCCAGGGCCGTTATCCACCAGGATGATTTGGGGGTTGCAGACCCCACCCGCCCCTGTAGAGCCTGAAGCCCCTACCGTGGGAGACTGGCCGTGCCTCAAGCAACGGTGCCTTGCTCCTTGCCCCCTGCAGAGATTCAGAGCAGCTTCATTACACCGAAAAAGAGAGGAAGACAAAAATACAAATCCTCAACTCACAATCTCAACCTTATAGAAACTCTGTGCGCGGACATGGCACCTCCCCTGCATTCCGGGATGCAGTGAGCGTTTCAAACCCCAAAGCCACTGAACGCAAACCCTATAAATTCCCGTAAACCGAAAGCCGAAACGGATAAGCTGCAAGCAGGACATGGCGCAACTCGATAGACTGCTAAAGGGTGCCCAGAACCCTTCGCAGGCAATCATGCCGGGCACCCGACGAACCAGAGAACGCCTACATAAAATGTTGTCAGCACTATGTTAAGAATGCGTAGTCTTACTACCAAATGTTTCAAACTATTGAATGCTCCCTCAAAGCCAGCTGACATATTTTGTGAACTGCATTGCGTGGGTCGTAGTAGAAGACATCTACAGACCCGTTTGGTTTGAGTCAAGGCTCTGCATGCTGCAAAGGTCATTGCGTGAGCTCGTCCAACTGAGCATCCATCTGAAGTACCTTCATAAACCTATAGGTTTCAGGTGTTAGGGTTGCTCACTTGGTATTTCAGTTACAGAATGCAATCATCTCCTAGCCGAACCTGTAGCTTTTCAGCCAGCCCTTCCGGCAAGCGCCACAGACGGAACAAAAACGACGACTCGTGGGTGATGGTGGTGCTCAGAGAGTCCTTGCTGAGGCCTATGCTCAATCACCTGAGGCAGCGCCCTCAGCAGTTGGGTTCCTTCTGGGTAGTGTTCAGCTTTCCACGGGACCCCCCCAACTCCCCCAATGGAAGCCTAGATTATTGGCTGTGTTATTCCTTGGGATTCTTTATTAAAGCTATACATCAACGGAGCCTGATCATTAGGGCCCCTCTAGTAGATTCCTTTTCGTAGGCCGCAGTATGTTCTGAATATCTTGTTCGGCAAGACAGGAGCGTCAGCACATAAGTACGACATGACGATTTGATATTAAACCCGAATTCGACAGATACTTTTGCACTTGCGCGACCTTCCTGCTTCTTCGGATAGGCATATAGATCCTTTTCTTGTAGCTCGGAAGCCAGAGAAATTTGAAGTGGCGGAAGATTACAGAGGTCTGTCGGCGATCTTGATGACCTCATCCGTGAACAGCGGCCGCTTGGCGTACAGTGGAAGGCCGTGCTCGATGCACGCACTTCGAGCATAAAGCTCGACAGATTATCTTGGTCAGACCCGCAGTGTGAAGGGTTGACGAAATAAAAACCAAGGATGCCAGGCAAGATTTTGCCTTGGGTCAAGGGTTTAGGGTTTAGGGTTTAGGGTTTAGGGCATGCAGCTCGCCACGACATTTGGGAGGGAAGGCTTTTGAAGCATCAGGTGGGATTGGGGATAGAAGAGAATCCAAATTCCCATCGGGGCAGAACGCAAGGGCTAGTCGAATCCCCAAAAACCCCTAACTAGGATCCACAGAGGCCCTAAATTTAAATTCTTCCCAATCTCACAGAAGAGGAGTTCTTAACGAAGGTATCATACCTATACTCTCCTTTGTAGTTCCTTTTTGGGGATACCTTATAAACTCTTTAATATGTATTTGGTTAAACCAAAAAAAGGAACTACAATGGAGACTATAGGTAAACTCCAACCGTAGCCTTGATGCACCGCCGCTTCGAGCAGCCCCGCTCGAATCACCTCGGAGAACCCGCCCGAATACCATTCTGTTTAGGGTTTAGGGTTTAGAACTGTTTGCGCCGTTTGGGGTCTCATGGACGATGCATCCTATCTCTAAACCGATGTTGCACTCAGCCAAGGCCCTAGACCTTCAACCGAAACTATAGAGTCAGAGGCTTGCGCTTCCTCAACGAACCCAGGTCAAACGCCCGAGATCGCGATAGAGAAAAAGATCGCAAAGCTCCGTGGTTGAAGTCAACCGGGGTCCGAGTTCTCGTTCTTACAGGTAGTGCAGGGATGAGTGTGTTGGGGTTGAGGGGATTTGGCTAGACCGGGCTGCTGGACAACGAGGCCTGTTGCAAAAGGGGTTTAGGGAAGTGGTCCTGCTATTGGTGTTGTTGCGCCTGCAACTATCACATGTGTTGTTTTTGGCATGGTACGGCATAGCTCCATTTTTCCGACGGATGGATATTGCAGGACTTCATGCATGTCTGTTATCGGCACTACTCTGAAATTCAGACATACTGTCTAGATCGCACGGGACTGCACACCGCCTTGCCGATGCGATCACAGAGCCGAAAAACCCACATCCAGCCTGCATCATACCCCTGGTACAGCTTGTTTCCCTAAGTGGCACATTGGGAAACTTGTTCATTTCCCTCTATGGTTCCTATAGAGGTACCTGTTCATGAATATACGCTTAAGGGCTCCCAGAAGTACTACCCAGTTCATGATACATATAAATTCCGTTCGTCCCGCGAAAGTAAGGAGAGCCTGCAATCTGTGGAAAGGCTGCGCCTGAAAGGGTGAAAATGCAACAGGTCCAAGAGCAAATCACACTCGGACTGCTGCTTGCGGTAAACATGGCATGCAGTGAACATTCATCGCAAAGCAGGGAACAGTGTTGAACTCAAACCGGGCCCCGCGACAGACTGAGGCTCGGTACAGCTCGAAGTCCCGGCCGCCGGGCCTTTGTTGGCGGTTTCCCTTGGCGGTTTTGGTGTTTAGCCTGGGCAATGAGTTCTGCAGCCCCTTCGTTTCGCTGCGGTTCTGGAGCTCGAAGCAGTAGATCCGATCCGGGAATTGGTGGAGTGCTAGACAGGCGATGCTCCGAGGGTACAGCAGACCGAAATCTCCAAAATCCTCAAGCCCCGAAGACGGGCTGACTATGTTACCTTGGGTGCCACGATGTGTATCTTACGAGCCAGACAGGAGGCAAGTCGCTGACTCCAAGTTGCCGGTGTTTCGGTGCGCAATTGACAGCCATGCTTCCCTTTGCCTCGGGTCCCACATTTAATGGTGCCGGTCGCGCAGTAACTACTGTTATGGTAGGGTTTCGTGGGCTCAGAGAGTGTGGGGGTGCAGGATTCCACCTCGTCATGCGTACTCGTATCAGTCTGTCACCTGCGGCAAGAGCAAGTTTTAAGGGTAATTAAGTTATCCCTGTAGGCCCCAAGACCTACATATGTCGCTTTCAGGTAGCGGTGATCGTACAAGCGACTAGTAATTATCTTAATAACCATGGTACGAAAGATCGCCATCATAGCAAGATCCATAATAGCCGTAAGAGGAAGACATAATGACGATCATAATCATAAAACATGTTGATTGCGACTATGCGGTTTATTGCTTTGATCGCCCAACCCGGGCTCCGGTCAGGGGCAGCATAGCCGGAGCTGAGAACCAGAAGCCAAGGTCACGGTCCAGGTCACGCCGTCGACGATAGGCGAGGTTAGAGATTTTGCAGTCAAGGGTTAAGGCATGTTAAGGCTAAGGTTTATAGGCTTTCGTAGAGGCTTTAAGGTTTCAGACCTCAGCTTTCGAAGAGACAAGGGGGGAGGAAAGCATGTCATGGCTAAACGGCGGGAGACAACAGCAGGCCACTATGCCAAACCGAAGCTTGCTTGCAAAGGAAGTCGGTGGGGGACGATCCATAACACGTTTGGACATCTGAACGGCTCAGGCACAGAATCGCATATCCAACACAGAGGCATCTGGGTGTCCGACACTAGAACCCAAGCCCTATCTCTTGATCTAAACTTGAACCGCAGCAAACCTCCCTTCGGCGAACCTGTTGCCAGCGCAAATTGAAAATCAGACAGCCGGTCAGACCCCGACCCTTGTAATCGTTTTTGGAGGTTTGCATGTGTAAGTTGGAGACAACGGCTCTCTTATACTTTGCCCAATGGGGTTTAGGGTTTAGGTTCATGACCGTGTTGCAAGGCAGAGGCAGCATCTGTCGAAGCAAAACCTGATGCACGCAGCACACTTTGCGAACCTCCTTGCAAGTTGCAATCTCTGCGGATTCGGACAGCTGTGCAGGTCTACCGCACCTGGTGCTGTTTGAGCCTGAAACGGCCAATTAAGCTGCTCTCGCATCAGAAGCTTATGTATCTGGAGCTTGGAGCCTGAAAAGCTCACCCTCCAAGACACCTCAGAACTTGACAGCCATATCAATTTTGTTGAGCCCTAAACCCCATTCCCAAAGTGCTCGGCATCCAACTATGGTTTCCAAGCCGATGCGAAAAGTTTGTGTGCAAGAATGTGTCGTCGTAGCGATCACAGATATTTAAAGCCTAGGGTATGTTGCATTTGTCTCAGCATAGTTCTTAACATGCCTTGCTGGCATCCGAGGGGCACTTACATCAAAGACACGAATGCGGCGCAGAGGATGCTGAACAAAAATAAGCCGCTGCTGCTGGCAGCTTGTCATTAACCCACCGGTGCCTGCAATATTTTCCGGTGGATTCCTGGAAGCCAGCTTAGTTGGAAGCGGCATCCCATTCTGTTTGATCTACGAACATGGACGATAGATCTGCTTCTGCCGGCATCCTAAACCCTAAACCCTGGAAAAAAGAGCCCTGAAGCCCAAAACCCTAAACCCTAAATCCAAGCATTGCATGTCATCGCAGCTTTTTTGGCTTTCACCTCTATGTCAGCAGGCGGCCCTACACTCACGAGGCCTCATGGCAACAACCAGTTCCCCATAGCCAACCTGCGTGCTAGTGCACGTCGCTGTCAAACGCTCTTGTAGATTCGTAGGATGTTTGCCCTAATGTAGGGGCCTTAATAATGATTAGAACAGGTGCTTGGGGTTTTTTATGCTATAATTATAATATATTATAATAAGGAGACACCGCAAAATAGTATCGGTAATTATTCAGGCCCCTATCAGACCCAGAGAGTTTCGTGCAGCTAACTTCAGTCAAAGCTCAGACAGCAAGTGCGCAGCAGTTTCAGATCGGGTCGGTCCTCGGTGAATGAGGACCCGCTGCAGCTCAGCGGAGGAATCTGTACAATTAGAAGTGTGCTTTGCGGAACAACGAAGTATACTTTGGTCCCTCAGGACAGGAACATGGGCATCGGGTATATCTGTTTCACTGTAATTTCCTACTTATTGGGGCTTCCAGGGCCTTACCTTTAGCTTGTGACTTCCCGGTGCTCGGGAAAGCTCTCTGCACGCCTTACACAAGAATCAAACCTAGATAGCTAGAGTCTGGAGGAAGTGGGTGGAGAGCTATGCCGTTCGCTAGGACTCCTGGCAGTCGATGCGGCCGGTGACGGTCTTGTGCTCAGACATGCGAGCGCGTGAGGGCGGGATTTGGGTTGAGAGGCAACCAGGGATACTACACAAGCCTCAATAATTATATATTGTTGTCAGGGTTCCTTATCATAACC